GTCGTTGACATTGCATAAAAAATATATCAAATTATATTTTTGTAACTCCCTCGATGTTACAAAAGAGTGGCGGTTTGTCGTTCACATAGTAAACCAAGCTCCCAAAATTAAATTTGCTTCGTAATTCACACCCGAGCATGAACAGTAGCATTTGTTCATCTTCGTAAGAAATTATACAAAACTGTTGGCAAAATACAACAAGTTCAGTGTTAAAATAGGGCATGTTAATGAACTTCAGGTTCAAGCTTCTCAAGGACACTCTCTGCACTTCGTGCAAGGAACTCAAAAAAGCTGAAAAATAATAGGCCCTTTTAAAAAAATCTGTTCGACATGCACGGCCGCCATCAACAGGAGAGGAACACATAAGAAACAGGAAACCGAAAATAGTGCTTTTTCTGTATTTAGGTGGAAACACTTGCCACTATTGTATTAATACAAGCATTTACTTGCATTTGAAATTAAACGTTTCCCAATGTAAATCAAAACGAAAAGAAAATTCTTCATATTAAAGAGATGTACACTTTTTTGTAACAAGATACAGGCATACCTCGTTTTATTTCGCTTCGCAGATATTGCGGGTTCTTTTACAAATTGAAGTTTTGGGGCAACCCTGCGTCGAGTAAGTCTGTCGGCGCCATTTTTTCAACAGCATGTGCTCACTTCGTGTCTCTGTGTCACATTTTGGTAATTCTCGCAATGTTCTCGCATTGTTTTTTTAGACATAATGCTATTGCACACTTAATAGACTACAGTATAGTATAAACATAACTTTTATATGCACTGGGAAACCAAAAATTTCGTGTGACTCGCTTTATTGCGGTGGTCTGGAACGGAGCCCGAAATATCTCCGAGGTATGCCTGTATGTGTCTCAAACAAGTTAATCTCCAAATATAGCTTATTCAAAACTGACCAGCAGCACAAAAATAGTACACAATAATTTTAATAAAGATTTGGAATTTTTTTATGTAAAGTTTCAACAAATAATTGGTTTGTAAGACTTGAGGTTCTCACAGCGGTGAGTATGAAGATTTCCGTCTTCTGGGTTGTTCCGCTGTGTAGTCTGATCGATGTTAACGAACGTTTCAGAGGTCATACTGCCTCCGTCATCAGGGCGATGAATATCATCGACCAGACTACACAGCGCAACTATCCAGAAGACGGAAATCTTCAAATAATTGATTATATAAACATGGACGCTGTAACTATCCATCCGAATGAAACACAAAGTGTTAAGGGTTATTTTCTTTATTTGTGGTCTGTTGGATAAAATTCATTAAACTATGCTGACAGTCGCTCAGACGATTAGCGCTGACTGATAGGATGATTAATGAACAATCATAGGAAGGAATATGGGAAGAAGTGTTTGTGGCCTTAATTAAAGTCGGATACCGGCATTTGCATGGAGGGCCTAAAGATAACGAAGAACCTCAGTTGGGACAACCGGTCTCCCTGCTGAGATGAAAACCAAGGACCTCCTTAATACGTTGCACTAAATACTAGACTGCGATGATGGGTTGACAAATACAGAAATTAGTCGAGGGATGTAACACATTAGGCGAAAGTAAGAAGGGAGACAAACAGAGATAACTACTCGCCTTAATAATTCGGTAAATGTAAAAATGGACGACCACACAAGAACACGTCCAACGCGTCGTCACAGATGGACAGAATCCCAAAACAAACCAGAAAGGCCACTTAGAAGACTGCTGTGAAGTTGAATATACGAGGTGCGATCGGAAAGTTTCCAGACTGCGCGTATAAAAACCCGTACACTTATCTCAGGTATTAAATTCATCCATCACCCTCGAAGTAGTTCCCCTGGGAGTGAACACAACGACCCCAGCGCCGCTGCCAAGCCTGGAAGCATCCCTGGAAATCTTTCTTTGTCAGCCTGTCAAGCACCATCTGCGATTCTGCCTGAATCTCTTCTATCGTCTCAAATCTCATTCCCTTTAGCTGAATTTTCATCTTTGAGAAGAGGAAACCTTAGAAAGGAAGTTGGGGTCGGTTCTTGCAAGATCTTTGAGCTCCTGACAAACGAGAAGTCGATTCTGCTTCTGGTCCTCAGACAGGATGCGTCGCATGTGGAGTTCTTCCTTTAGAATCAGCTATTGACACAGTCTTGAAACTTTCCGATCGCACCTCGTATTGAACAAGACAACGAACCTTCTACTTAAATATAACACAGTTCATCTTTTTGACTGCCTGAAGTGAGATTTGATCTACTGCTTCGTACCAGAATCGCAGATGGTGCTTGACAGGCTGACAAAGAAAGATTTCCAGGGATGCTTCCAGGCTTGGCAGCGGCGCTGGGATCGTTGTGTTCACTCCCAGGGGAACTACTTCGAGGGTGATGGATGAATTTAATACCTGAGATAAGTGTACGGGTTTTTATACGCGCAGTCTGAAAACCTTCCGATCGCACCTCGTAATCAGTTAGGAAAAGGATAACATCAATAACGTGTAATTTTATGCGCATTTCTTCCATTTATATTTCATCCGTCATTCATATCTATAACGACATATACAGGATAAATAAATTCTGCAGTTAGCGCAGTATACGCAATTAGTAACCTTGTAGTCACGCTGCAAGATGGAAATTGAACTATTTGCGGTCCCCATTTGTTCTCGGATTGCAGATTCTAAAATATTAGCCTTTCATTGTCTTTGTTGGCATACAAGAACT